GGGGGCGGGGGGGAGCGCCTGGAGGGGGAGGGGCGGGAAGGAGGGAGCGGCGGCGCGAGGTGCCCGCGCGCACCGGGCGTTTAGCTCCGGCGCGAGACGGGGAGAGAAGAGGTGAGTCTGCTACCCTTAGCTCTTGGAAGGGTTCAGGAGCAGCGCGGGCGCTCACGCGCACCAAGGATTTAGGGGCTCTTGGTCTCAAAACGCCTTAGAGGCTGGCGGCCGCTCTCGCTTCACAATGAGCGTGTGAAGCGCTGGGGGAGGAGCCCAAGAAGCAGGGAGGAAGAGCCGGTCGCCCCGCCTACGCCACCGGCGTAACGTGGGGATGCCTCCGCAGTGGTGTGAGATGTCACGTCGTAGCGTGAGGTCCTTCCGCCACTTGAGGCCCGTAGGCGGAGTTTTAGGTGCCAAAAAATCCCTGGGACTGGATAAACCTACCGAGTGCTGTTGTGAGCAGGTGGTGGGTTTCGCAGAGACTACACTATACCTATCTGCTTTAAATAGAAGGCTGATGAGCATTAAAGTGATTAGTTTGGACATCCTGATCTTTGCAGAGTAGTCTATGCCTACTCCTAAATTAAATGTCAGTGATTTTAAGCCTACATTGATTTTCCACGTCAGTGCATGAACCTTAAACTGTAGTACCAAGGAGACGGAAGGCCAGAGTTCCTAGGGTCTAATCGAAAATCTTCCACCCACCTGCAAGGAAGGTAGTACTCATTCGTTCGAAACTGGTTGGTCCCTAGGGCATTAAGCTGGATGCTTTGCTCGGTAATTAAGCCACTTCCTGCCTTCGAGGAGTGGTGGGTTTAGATAATGTGATGAGTTTATTATGTGCAGCACTGGAAACTATGAGAATAGATAGAAGTGAGCTAATGCAGCACTGGGTAACAATGCAAAGTGAGGATAGATAAGGGAGATGGATTTCTAGGCAAGAAAAGGCTAAGGAAAATTCAGCTTGGCTGGAGCATAAAAGGAGAAAGGGTTCAAAAAAAAGTCTCTTGTATGAGACTTATACATTATCCTCAAAGCAGTCGGGAGCCTTCTATTAAAAACAAGAGTTTGGGGGCCAGCAGGTGTTACAGTGGTTATGTTGTTGGATTCCCACATAGCTGGCCAGGGTTCAAGGCCCCAACGGGTGGCATGGGTGCTGAACGCCCAAGATTCCTGGAGGAGAAGAAATTGCTGTATGGCCATGGGGAGGGGGTGATTTCTGACTTTCCCTCTCACTATCTCTCTTTCTCTTGGGCAAGTACACACACCCTATGGCAAAACCTCTTTTTTAAAAAAAATGAAGAGGGATTTACTCTGCAACCTGGAGAGCAGTGGAGCAGTGATGGGCATGCTTGTGGTCTTAATTCTGGTGAGATCCTTAGTGGCTCCGTCTTTGCAATAGGCATTGGCATTGGACCGCTTCCCAACACTTCCCCTCCAAACAGGTACACAGCTGGCTAAAAGTCTGCCTTATTCTTTGGGAAAGACTCCTTCACCTGCCTCACTTGTAGCTTCAGATGTGTTAGGTTCCCTTCCTGTGTGCTTGCTCAGGAATTTACCCTACTTTATTCTAACAGCTTTCTGTTAATTCCGTCTTCCTGTTAATGTCAGCTCTCCCGAGATGGAAACTTGTACTTTTTTTTTTTTAGAATGATTTTATTTAACTTTATTTGTTTGTTTATTTATTTAAATTTGGCCAGAGAGGGACAGAGTGAGAGAGAGAAAAAAAGCCAGAAAGCAAGCTGCCAGATCTGGTATTCAAACCGCTGTCGACCCTATGGGAGTCCAATACCCTTAACCACCACGCCACCTGCTGGCCCCAGATGGGATCTTGGCCTTTTTTTTTTTTTCTCCTATTTCTTTTTAATTTGCTAGAGCACATACACTCACTGGAGAGAGAGAGAGACCATGCCACAGTCTCTTCTCTATTTCTCCCCCATTCAAGATTTTGGGCACCCATGCAAATACCATGCTACAATCTCTTCTCCATTTCTACTCCTTTCAAGATTTTGGTCACCCATGCACACACACCCAGCACACTCTTTCAAGCCACTGGGTCCGGGACTCAACCACACAGTCATCCATGTGGGATCCAGCTGCCTTAACCACCATGCCACAAGCTTGCCCAAGGATGGTGACCTGTAGGCACTGTCAAGACAGTATTTGTAAGGTGAATGGTCTTCATGTTTCCATCGACACAGACCTGCTTTTTCCTGGCATTACCTGCACCACCGTGTGCCATGCCACCTCCTCAGCCTCACCGTGGGCACTCCAGTTCTCCTATCTACCCCATCTTGCTCCACACTCAGATTCTAAGTTCCACCCCATTAAATTCCCTCTTCTACAATATGGCTTGCCATATTCAACTCTGCCTGTGCATTTATTTCTTCATACAGTATTCCCTTCTGGTTCTCTACTCTGCAGTTCTTCAAGCTCAAGTGTCAGTTCTTTTGCACATCCTCTGTTATTGACTCCCTCCTTAGGGTCCCTGGAACACTGTTGTTTCTGTTTATGCCTCTCTTGGAATCTGAGGTCATAAAGGGCATTTCTCTCTCCTTCATGCCTAGTTCAGTAGCTGGCACCCACTCGCTCATCAAATTATTTGGTGAATGGAAAGTTGTCTTATTGTATGTAATTTTAAAATTTTACCATTTTCACAAAAAGGGTGCCAGCAGGTACCGTGGTGGTTAAGGGTGCTGGACTCCCATATGGCTGACCACAGTTCAAGTCCTGGACCTGGCAGCTGGCTTTCTCACTTTCTCTCTCACTCTGCAGTCCCTGGTCAAATTGAAATAAATAAGTTAAATTAAAAAAATTTTAAATTTACCATTTTCAGGGCCAGCAGGTGGCATGGTGGTTAAGGTGATGGATGTAGTTTGAGTCCCAGACCTGGTGACTTGAACATCACATTGGGCACGTGTGCACTTGCCCAAAATCCCAGCAGGAAAAGGGCCATTCCCCCCAAGGGTAACTTCTCACTTTCCCTTTCTATCTCTCTGTGTTAGGTGTGCACACAAGCCATATGGCAAAACCGAAAAAAAAAATTTTTTTTGATTTGATACAGAGTGATTTCTAGTATATATTGTTCAGAAAGCCAAGTGCAAAAGAACTACCTTCTATATAAGGAAGAAGAGAAAATAAAACATGTAAAGGCCAGCAGATGGCATGGTGGGTAAGGTGTCAGACTCCCATAGTTCAAGTCCTGGACCTGGTGGCTTGAAAATCATGCTGGGGAGGGAAGCCATGCTCTAAACCCATCTCCTAGGCTCCCAAAATGTTCAGACAAGAAGCCATTTTAAACTATTTTTCTCATTTGTTTTTTTTTAAGTGGGAATATAAACTTTTCTTCCTTCCTGATCCCTCTGGAATTGGAAATATTTGGGAATATTCTTATTTTGTGGCAGAAGGGTTATTTGCATAAGTTCAGTCATGCTTGCTGCATTGAATCAGAAATTGGAAATACTCATTGGACAGGGCTTTGACTGGAATGTCATATCTGAAGATCAATCAGAAAACTATGGAACTAAGGTGGATCTCAAGTAAGCCAACAGAAGCTCTTAGAAAGATGGCCTGGGACCATAAATAGTTCTGCCTGACAGAGAGGATTAGAGAAGATATATGAAAGAATTTACAACATAAAATAACCTGGACTTTTTCCAGCCCAGCATTGTAATTAGTGGAGATTGCAAAAGAGCAACCACACCAGAGGATTATCTTGAAAAAGACTTTGAAGGAAAAAAAAGAGACTGATCTTTGCTAGCAGATGGTATATCACAGAATACTTGGTAGGCAGGGCTGAATTGAGAAGGTTTATGTGTGACTAGTGTGCTGGGCATTTGCTTTTCAACAATTTGAGTAGT